ACACAATGTATTAATTTTAGTTAGTTGGTTATGTATTTTTTAAATAAAAAAAAATTTTAAATTTACTTACTTGTAGCTGGAGTTAGAGGCGGTCGGATACTTATGACCGCTACTGTAATTCTAAATTTAAATGTCAAATATTTTAATATACCTTCTCTAGCCAATAACCATTATTTTTCTGAATTTGATTTTTTGCAGATCTTTTATTTTTGTTATATCTTTAATGTTAATTCCTAACATATTTAAAATTATGAAAAAAATTGAAAAAATTAAAAAGTAAATTTATATAAAAATAACGATAATACCTGAGTGTATACTAGAATCATATATTTTAGTTACCAATTTACTCATAATATTTGTCCTTTCTTTATCTCTTAGTAATTCATATGAATTCAATTCTAATTCTGTTCGATATTACAATTGTAATTGTACTTATTCTCATAAAATTCCTGCAGTTTACAATTCTTGTATAATTGTCTTTCAACCTCTATGATTAGATATATTACAATTTGTAAGATCAATTTCAGATAATCTGCATATTTTACGCATAAATACTTTTAAGTGTACTTCACCAATATAAGATTTCTTATACCAAATTCCAGTTTGAAGTGCTATAAAGATAAAAATAAATAAATAATTTATAAAAAGCAAATAAATTAATTTTACCTGTTTCTTCATTAACTTCTTGTATATAATATTGTAAATCAGCTAAAATAGATCTTTTGTAAAATAATTTTCATAATAATTAATTATATCTTCTTAGTTTGATATAATTAATATTTCAGCTTTTTAATTATCATTTAATCCTCACTGATTAGTTTTTAATTAATAAATATATACATCAAATCTTTTATCATTTCATTTTTTGAAGTTATTTGTCTTAATTAATAAGTGTTCACTCCTTCTTAATCCAAGAATTATTGCATTATGAAAGAATACCTATTTTAAAAGTCTTTCAGATGTTGATTCATCCATAAATTTATGAGATAATACTTGTTGAACTTCTGAAAGGCTTAATCTATCAAAATCTCTAGTTTTACCATATTTAAGATCACTTAAAAACTTGATCTTTCCACTTACAGTTTCATTAAGAGTAATAAAGATATTATTATCATAAATATTAACATGTTCAATCACAGAATTTTTATTCAAAAACAACAAATAATAATAAATTATATACCTATTATATGTTAATTTATACATTATTTTATATTAGGCACATAGTATTCAAAGCTCGGTATATTGATCATATCACAAAATATTTATGAACTTCAAACTTGTGGTGCTAAAATATTTTAAAGGATTAAGTTTGATGGTTATATTGGAATGTAAAAGGCATTATCTATTATATGCCATAACATTATTGGAAATAAAAAAGATCTTTATAATAATTCAGTCGCCATTGTTTATGAAGCAGGTAGCTTTTCTTTTTCTTTGCGAAAACTAAAACAACTTTTTGCGGTACTTGCACTAGTGTGTATTTGATAAATATTTATTGAATATGATTTATTTTAAGGTTGGATTCCTGTAAAGGTTTGAAGGTTTTGCTGTTCGAATTATCTAACTCTTTGGAATAGGTGTTAATTCACAAGAAATATTAGGGAACATGTGTAGAAACTAATGCTGAACTTTATTGACGGTAATCCTACGAAGCATATATATTTTGTTATATTGGGTCAAGTTGATCATTCATTTTCAAAGTACTGGGATTTTGAAAAGAAAATTATATTATTAAAGTGAAAATAACATGTATATCTAATTTCAATTTAAATATAGAGATAGTAAATTATTATTATAATAATAAAAATAAATGAAAAAATAAAAATTTAAGAAAAAAACGACGCTTTTCATCTCAGATAATTTTCTTTTAAAAAAAAAAAAAAAAAAGATAAAAAATACACCATCTCAGCATTTTTTATAAACTCAATTCTTTGATTTTCGCCAGCATATTTTAAAATTTTTCCTCTGTCGTAGTAAGCTAATTCGTCGATCAACATTTGATGACGCAAACCGTGTTTATTCTTTTTCGCTTATTAGAAAATTTATTATATTAAAAAAAGAAATGCTATTGGACGTCTTGTTTATTTTTGATTGTCGTGTTCGTTCTTTTGTTTTCTCAGTCACCATCTTGGGAAATTATAAAATGGTTTCCAAACCTTTGTTTTTCACCTTTATTCCAAAACTTTTTTCATTTGGTATGTGTTCAGTATTTTTTTTTTTTTTTTTTGAAAATGAGAACTTTTGAAAGATTTAAAAGATTTGAAAGCTCAAAATATTTTTTTTAGGAATTTTTTATAAAAAATGTCACAAAAACTCTGAGATAAGTATGACAAGCACAAAGATATGTGCTACGACTTCCTTCTACATTTACCCTTAACTCCCTTACTGACTCCATTTCGACAGCTGTACCTTCTTTTATTCCCTCTTCTTCTACAACTTTCAATTCTTCTGTTCCCATGTCTACAGCTGTAACTCCTGATACCTTCCTCTCCCTTTTTAGTTTCCCCCTCCCGTTTCTACTGCAGCTGTAGCTCCAGTGCTTCACAGCATCCCCTATTTCTCATATCCGTCACTTTTCTAGGTGGCCAGAGCCGATGAATCTTGATTCTCCTGGTATCTACGTTGTCATTTACTATTCACGAGGTGCAATACCAAAACCAGTCAAAAATCATATAAATAACTGAAGATAGGTAAAACCAAGGAACAAATTAAGCGAATAATCCAAATACTATACCTTCGCCAAATAATTTTTGATATACTAAAATTCTGTATGCTTTGCTTAACTACTAATAATTCTATTATCGTTGTAAAAAATAATTTTAAAAATATTTTTTTTAAAACTCTTATTAATAAATAAAATGTTTTAATATAATGAGAATATTGTAATGTCACTTCGTGAAGTTAACAATCACCGTATAATGTCCATAAAATATAATATTTTTCTTTGATATAACACAAGATTACTTTCAGTTCCATGACAAATCGCCGAAACATTTCATAATCATTAAATTAAACTAGGAAAATTTGTATATATTAACCAGCATTATGAAAAAAATGCACGATCAAAGAGCGAACTTTTCTTTAAATTATATAATGTGCAAAAGCAATTACCTAGAGTATTCGTTGTCTTACGTACATACAACACAATGTACTTTATTTCATATTGCTATCGTTCATCATATAAAAAAACTTTGGCGTTAATTGCATACGAAAGATCGGGTGTTTTTCGCTGAAATCCTTGCAAGAATACGACGGGACCAAGGGTTATGTTTAAAAAAGACGAATTTAGGAGGACAGAAAGTAAAGGATGGGAGACCTTACAACGTATTGCAATAAAAATTGTGATGGCTTTTCAGCCATCGAAGGTTCAATCATTCTTGAGAGTTATTTTTTCACACTAATTTTATCGGTTGGTTGTTTTCTCCATTTCGAATGATGTTCTCTCAAAAGATGAAAATACTTTTTTTCGAATGTTATATAAGATTTCAATATAAAATAACTTTTGCAGGATAAATCATTAATCTTAAAAGCTAACAAACGTAATTTTCAAAAGATTTAAAGTATTAAATCAGTTATTTCTTCATTAAACAAATTTGCTAACTAAAGGATTGATTCATGATCATCATATGATATATTCGAAAATCAGTTGAGATTTATAATTAAAAATCATGTCGATGCTGCTATAGTATAGCGGTATAAAGCGCTTGACCATCAACTCTCGAATACTAGGTTCGAGTAAAACTAATATAAAAATAAAATAAAAATAAAAAAAATTTTTTTTTTTCTTTTCTTATTTTAAAGTATTACATAAAATATGATTTTTGTCCATTATATTACAAGTTCCAAAAAATTTTTCTAGCTTCGATTTTCCCACGACAAATGACAACTCATGTTGGTAGGCCAAAAAAAATGTATTAGTGACGAATTTTTCTCTTATGAAATGATTTTTTTAAGGAAGTAAAAAAGTCAAATTCAATAAAACTCTTTTGGAATCGACAAGGCACTATTATGGAAACTGAGATAATTTAAGAAAACCCAATTACAGTAGGTAAGTTATCTTTACAAAGAACTATTTTTAGTGCTAATATTTTTCTAACTTTATTTTTGATTTTTAGAAAGAAGGAATGATGGAGTTTGAAGGAATAGGTCTCCGTCATCTTAAGGAAACTTCATCCACAGTGCAAGAAAACAAATCATAATTACACTTCTTACAAGTCACCAACTACACCACAAACAGGAAGAGATCTTTCCAAACTTAGTGTTCAATTTGTTTTTGAGTCAACTAGCGATGACGTACCTACTAGCAAACTGAAGCGTGGAGATTATGAAGTTTTTAATTCAAGGTTGTTGAAAGATACACATCCGAAGATGAAGACGATAGCGAAAAAAAAAAGAAGAGCTGATGATGAAGAATCTGAAATTACTGTCAACGAAAATTTTTTAATTTTGACGAAGTAGTCAAACCCAATAATTTAGAATGGAAGTTGTCAAGCGGAGAATTTGTCAGAAATACCTGCATTAATAATTCTAGAAATTCTAAAAATAAAAGGCTGACTGCTTATACAGTGAGGGAATTAGGTATACTTTTACGCGTTTAATTATTACAAATATAACGAAGAGATCTTTTGAGTAGGCTTGGATTGTCTTCCATCATAGATTTGTCATCCAAATTTCTAGGCGGTATGTACACTCCTCGGTCAAAAGTATTGGACCAAAAAAAAAGTTATCGCAACTTTTAAATTTATGACTAATTTTAATTTTTTAATTATAA